GGTGGTATGTCGGTTAGATATGCCCAACATTCCTGTCGAAGTTAGATTTAGAGTTTGTATTATTTCTCTTGGCTCTGACTCTGACTCTGCCTGTCTGAAAAAAGGAGTTGATAACAGGGATGAGATTATACCAAAAGAGTGTGAGACTACAACATTTAGCAAAAAGATGCCAAGGTTATGTGGAGCTGGGTATAACTGTGGAGTTGATTGATAGTTCTGTTGTGGTTTTCCTCTAAGGGTTTCAACAGAATGGCTGAAAATTGTGCATTTTTTTTCTTGACATGCCCAATCAAAGAACATGCCTCAATAAATCCAAAGGACAAGCTTGTGAAGGGAAAAAATCCCATTTGTAGACTGCATTATGCTCTGAAAATGATGGCTGAGTCATTAGTGAAAGAGTTGGAAAGACTGTTGGGTGCACTTAATGGACACGATCAGACACGTTCTCTCTGTTTTATTACCAATCCCTTATTATTATGTTTTCATGTCTCAGTGCTTTGGTAATTTAGTTGCACATGGATGTATCAGAGATGCAAAAAGTCCATGAGTTATGTTTTTATATCTGATATCAGATGCCTATGATTTTATCCTGTAAGGTTAAGGATAAATTGAACTTTTTTTCTCAACTTTGGCCATTCTTTAAATCACTGAGGACAATGTCTCCTCCAGAGTACAGTCACTGCAGAGACGTGGGAACAAGTCGACACAGAAACTACAGCCAGATGTTTATTACCATGCCAACAGTTTGGGCAGATCATTCAACCCACTTTATATGGAGAAAGAACAAAAGTTTACTCACAGAAAATGTTGGTAAATACCATAAAGTTTGGTTCATTAGACACTTTTAACGCCATCAAAAAAGTTGGCTGTACTAAACATCTGTGCCACCGATATACCAGTAAACTGCAAATTAGTTTTTTTTTTTTTTCAAAGGTATTTTACCAAGACGTCTAGCCAGAATAGCTAAAGCTTTTGTCTCAGATATGATCATGAAATATGATAATTTTGTTATGATGCAGCCACCATAATCACCCAATGCACACAGAACTGAAGCGATCAGAAATACGCCTCTGTTTATTGCATATCATATGCTGCTGCTTAGTTGTGGTGCCACTTTTCTCTGTCATTAGTTGATAACCATGCATTTACAGAAAATTGGGTTGTTTAACAAAACATGTGAAGTCCTGGTTTGACTGAGGAGACTCTTCATTTTAACACAAGTGACATGAGGAAAGGAGATGAGCAACTCTTGGCAAATTGATCACTGCAGTGGAACACACCTCACTGATGTCAAAGTTCCCCTTGGCTGAGCCCAAATGCTGCACCTGTGGGTGCTAGTGTTACAGATTTTGGTATTATCAGATCAGAATGCTAGTTAGTCAAACATGGCAACATCCTGATCAGTAAACCATTTGGTAGTAGTTTTGGAGCCATAGGCAGGTGGGCCACTGTTAGTACAAAGTGTTGTAAAATCTTCTAGTAGACTTTAAACTGCATTGACTTTGGACCAACAGCAGCAGCTGACATGTCACCTCAAATTACTGCAAACTGTAGAGACTACACACTAGTCTCTACACCTTGAATTTTCTGCCTCGACACTCTTTCTACAGACAGCAGGATTTTGATTTCCAGATGAAGTGGTTAAATTAATTTCAGATGAACAGAGAACTTTGGACCACTGATCAATAGTCCAGATCTTTCTACGCTTTTCTGATGTTGTCTGTGGTTCAAGGGTGTCTTAATATTACAAATGGGAGAGCAGTAGTCGTTTTCCTGTGAATGTCCCACAATTTTCCCTTCCAGTCAATTTTCTAGCAATCTGCTTCCATACAGTGAAACAGAAACCTGTGAACAATTTTTTTTTAGGAATGTGACTCGCCCCTTTCATGGAGGGTGTCCATTGTTGTCTGAAAAACTGATGAAACAGGGTGATTGGGGCTTCTTGTACTGATTAGGTAAAGTTATTCTGTTGTTTTGATTGCAGTCATAATATATATTTTTTTCTTTTTTATTTATTAGTTAATTTATTTTTTGTGTTGTGACACTCCCTCTCCCCCTCCGCCAAAAATTTGGTAGTTCATTGGATTATTGGTCTCCCGGGTGATAGGCTGGGTGTAGAAGTATTTCTTTCTATCTCTTGGGAGATGACATCGGAGCCATGGAATGGCAACTTCATGCCCCACCTCTCCTAACCGACACATAGTTTGTGGTGATCAATAGATTTCAGTTTATTTGACATAGTTTTCTCATGTCAGTTGCTTTACCTCTCAGCTAGAGTTGTTTCTTATTTGGTGGGCCTTGATTTAGCCTGAAGCTAATTTAAATCAGTTCTTTTACTGTTAATTGATATGATTTTATGTGATCGAAATTGAAAAAAATAAAAAATAAAAGATCATAGTTTCATTGGTATGATTTGGTACAAAAGAAGCATGATCATTATATGGAGTAACTTATCAGAGGGCATTTTTACTATTATTATCAGGGTTTTTTTTTCTTGCTTAGACTTTGCTGAAAAAGGGAAAGGTTACTTTGAAGAAAGCAATGTGGCATTTGCAAGGAATTTGTTCCATACATTTTGTAAGGTATGTGCCAGAAATGCCATTCCAAGATTTCTTAAGTCTATCAATAAGAGACTGCTGATTTGCTGGACACACATTTCTGACTTCATTCCACACAAGCTCTACTGGAGAGAGGTCTTGAGACTGAGGGGGCCACACCATCTATTAAAGAACACCTTTTTTTATGGGTATAAAAAAAGAAGAGCTTAACAGAATGTTAAGAGTCATTATTGTAGTGCAAAACAAACTTGTGACTCACAAGTCTTAGTCCAGGTGGAACTTCATGACTGGAAAATGGAGTGGTATTGTTCCTTCTTCATGATACCTCTTATTTCAAACAAATCTCCTATTCTTTCACCTGTAAAACATCCCCATACCATGGCACTACTACCTCCTTGCTTTATTGTGGGTGTTACACATGGTGTTTTAAGACGTTCACAAGTTTGTCTGTGGACAAAGACTCTGCCTTTTGAAGCAAATAGTTCAAAATTGCTTTCCTCGGTCCAGAGAACTTGTTTCCAGTCATCATAGGTCCAATTTTTGTGAGCTTTTGCCCACTCGTATCTCTTTTTCTTGTTGTGTGGACGAAGTAGTGTTTATTTATTTGATTTTTTGCAGATACACCATCCTTCAGACCAACCTTTCTCAAACGACTTTTCACAGTAGTCAAAGAAAAAGAGACAACTAAATGAATTGTTTCAGACAGAGGCTGAAATAATATTTTAATACACCACTGTGAGAAATTTGAGGCTCTATTTTTTAATCTCTAAAATCACACAAAGCTATTAAAGACATATAAGAAACAAAATATAGAGTCTGGAAAAAAAGCATATTACACCCCCGACCCCCCACCCCCATTTAATATATTTAATTTTCAATTTATTTATGACTGCTCATGGAAAAAAAATGGACTATGATACAATTCCCTAATGTTTTTAGCTTTCCATGTATGTCAGTGAAGTTCAGTAAAGTAACTTGAGTTGGACAAACAGTGGGTCTCATTCATGAAACATCAGCAGGAAAAATTTGCGAACTGTGAGCAGAGCAAAATTTACAGGCAAACCGGCATTCATCAAGGTTTCTGTAGTTCTGATTTGTTCATAGCTACCATAGACTGTATACAGAATGGACGCTGTCTGCCTCCTCGCTGGGTGAAGCCACCGTGAGAACAGCACCCTCTGGTGACGGGCTGCAGTATAGGTCATATATCCCACCTCCTCCAGCAATCCTTATGGAGCTGTGGACAAACTTGAAACAGCCTATGGGCATAGGAAGATTGCGTAGCTCACCCAGGGGATACGCTGTTTGGGCAGAGTGTCATCACAGCGACTCTCCCGCCGAATGCGTACAACACTACTGCGCAAGTTGTGGTTCAAGAAAGTGAAGAAAATCCTGGAAACATAGAGAGCGGCTTCAGCTTTGTCTGATGACGGAAGGTGGAGCCAAGTTGTCCATTGTATATACAGTCTGTGATAGCTATCAACAAAATCTACACCTGCCGCTGAGCACTGGTAGAGTTTTTTTGAGGAAATTTACAGGAACACTGTCTGTTTTTTTTTTTTTAGAAATCACTTTTTTAATTCATAAAGAGATCTGTTATGAAACACTATCTTAACATGATCAAAAAAAATCTAAATATTACACATTTAGTAACATGATTTGCCAACAAAGAGATTTAAGCTTCAATTAAGGTTAAAAATACAAAAAGGTTGTTTTATGTGTGCTCTCTATATTGTCAATGATGAAAATATTGATTGCTTAACGCTGTGGCTCTATGGCCTGGTAGGGTGCACAAGAACGTCCCTCTCTGCAATAGTGCAGGTGACACTTATTTGAAGAGTGGAGCAGAGAGAGACAGCTGGTTTATCAGTCCAATCACATCAGGGTTTTCCCACAGTATTCATGAACATATAGTCATAGTAGCTGTAAATCTTCACATGAATTTCCAAATGTTTCATGATTGGGACACACATTGTAGTCTAACATTGGTTTCCTATGTGACAGTTTCATGTTTGACTCATCAGTCTCTAACGACTCTGCTGGACAGCATCCTGACATGATAAAAGAGGGTTAACTGGTATGTCATTTTGAGGTGTTGAGTCACTGAGCAAGCTAACTTTCATTAGGGAAGTTTTTGTTGGCTGTTTTTTCTTCTTAACTCACTGGTGGATATGTCAGAGCTGTGGTGTGGTGTTGAAGTTTTACCAAAAGTCTGCAGGAAGAATAGCTGGAGCACAGAGAGAGCGCTGTTATTTTCAGACCTCTTTGTGTGCTTCGACTGCAGATTGATGCTGGTACATTGAGTCATCATTGCAGTGTAATTTGCAGCAAACATTATCTTCTTTACACCCTTCAGTTCACAGGAATTTCATCACCCAGAGAAGATATGCACTGATGTACAAAAATACATTTATTTGAAACAATTTCAAAATGACAGTTTCTTTACCGTAGAAATATCGAAATAAAGATGAAACAGAACATTACTGATGATGCATGCATTGTAGATTTTTGTGCACTGAAGAACATTACAATGCTTTTGCCTTCTGTTAAATCATGAAAGCATGAATCTCTTTCATTTCAAGTATGGATTCCCTTAGAGATGTTACAGCATAATGTGGCATTTAAAATGTCAGATGAGACTGCAATTTCCAGTGATCAAAGTGGTGATTGAATGCACAATGAGGAGATAAACATTAGGAGAAAACCCAGACAGTAGAAGTTTCTTTTCTGGGAATAGTTCCACTATGTCTTTGCAGATCCATATAGCACTATATTTTGAGTTGTTTGTCTTAACTTTCTTGACAGACTTGTAAATATCCTCATTCTCACCCATCAGCAGCTGCAACACAACATCGTCCTGGATATGAACCAGATAAGTCATCAGTCATTCTTTACAGTTTCAAAGAGTGGGTGGGTGGGGAGGGTAGTATCTAAGTATGTCTGGAGTTACTTTCAGCAGAAACTTTTTGATATTTATTTTTCTGTTTCTCCTAATCCTGTTTTGCTAATAAGAATTTGAACAAAGTGATGCCATCAAAGCTCCCTTCCAAACAAACTCCAGCCAAGCAAACAACCCTTTCGCTGGTGACGTGAGTTGAATTCAACAAAGCTGTGAAACAATCTTTGTTCAATGTGTATTCTGTCTGCAGTAACAAGGCCTGGCTTGGCTGTTTGGTTCGAGACGAGAATGCTCTGTTCCAAGTAATGCATATGTGATCTGACAGACTATATCTTTGTGCAGTGTATTCCCTGCCCCTCTCAATTCTCCTGCGAGAACAGTTTGCTTCAGCTCAGCATTATGGGGAAGCTCTGCGTGGGGTGGTGTTCTGTTCAGTTGTACAACTTTCTCTGATTACTGTCATGCTGAAAACCAGGTGGTAATCCAAGGCCGATTTTGTAGGACTCAAAAGCACCCAAAGGCTGTATGAGAAAAGTACATAGCCTCTGATTCACAAAGGTCAGGTTAGTAGAGAGGTGCCATAGACCTGCCATCTTTCTTTCGGCCTGCAGGAGGCACCGTCACTGGTTGCAAATGGCCAAAACTTTTAGTTATTCATTATCCTAGTAATAACATCCTTCAAGGAGTATTTTGCCGTCAGTGTATTGTTCATCTATGAGATATTAATTTTGAAGAGTTAAATAGAGCTGTAGCTGAGAAGTGCCGGCCATATGCTGTGTCTAAGCTGTAGTACAGCCATCTGTCAGTAGCAGGTGCTATAAGGCTCCAGTGATTGGCTGATTCCATTGCTCTGTTCTATCTGGATATACTGTATACTCGCACAGATGTCAGATGGCATTTCAAAGCTTTGCACAGTTTGGCAGTATTTTGATCTAGTAAATGGAGGTAAACTTGTATATAGGCTGTATCCAGTTACTCATTGCAGCATACAAAGCATAACAAGCACAGGCATGTAGCCGATGATGCTAGCTCTGCTAATGTAAGCCAAATTTGGCTAACTGTTTTGACACAAGCGACACCTCTAAGCATGAAAAAATGATGTGGAAATGCTATTTATCAACATTTTTTCAGTGTCCTCCTCAGACTGACTCTGGAAATACCAGAAACCACACACACCCATTCAAAAAAACTTATCTTGACAGAAAAAAAAAAAAGAAAAAAAAAAAAAAAGGTTGGTTTCAATAGCTTATTTCTTTTTTATTTTTTTATTTTTTCAAAAATTAGTTTAGAAGAAATTAAGGTTATATGTTTGGCAAATTAGAGACATAGCTGCTTTGACTGGCAGGTGTGCACTTTAGCTGTTGGCAATGAGGGTAAATGTCACCCTAGCTCCACCTTTTTGACTCATGGTAGGTTGACTGAAAGTTTGGCTGAGTCAGCATTTACAGGACGCTGTTTGCTGTAAAAAAAACCTTCAACAGTTTTCACAAACCAGTGGGCGTCAGTGCTACATCCATGTTATATAAAGTCGATGGTTTGACATAGTTTACCAAAAGACAGAAAGCCTGTCTCAAGCCATGTGAAATCACGTTGACTCTTTCCAGGATTTTGTCTTATTAAAATAGCATATCATTAGGAATCTGCATTTCTGTATCAGGAATTGGAAGATAAGTTCCTTGGAAGAGCTCTACTCTGTAGTAAACTAGTACTACTGTCACTATGGATAAAATATTCAACATCTGACAATAGGCTCAACGACAGCTTTCTGGCAATGGATAAGCCACAAATTTAAAGCTCTAAGCTGCTTATTTATTAGAAGTTGGGTGTACAAGTAGAGAGTGACTGATACGTAAGAAATGAACCCATTTGTAAAGTTTCTAGTCACTGAAGTGGCCTTTAAAACAGGGAAAATGGATCAATAACAATAATGTCCACAGTGGAACCTTTGCATGGATACCAATTGCTCCAGTCATTTTATGTCATGATGCCTTTGTGACACTATTTGAGTTTTATAAAAAATAAAGGCAGAACCAGCAGAGAGGAAAATATTCATAATCTCTGTGGCAGTATGGTAGTCTGAACAGATAATGGTTTTCCCAGGAACACAGCTACAGGTCTTGTCTTTTTATTTGCAACATTCAACAATAAAGTTTCTAAGTTTAACTGAAAGATCAATACTTGTCAGCACAGAGGCTGGGAATACTTCAGAATCTAATGATTGAATTTCTGAGGCATTAAAAATGTTCCAAATCTGTTGCAGCTGAAAAACAAGATGAGCAGGAGAGGATGTTGATTAAAAGTCTCTGACACGCTGATTCGCACTTCACAGCTACTTGGTTCAAAAATACTTGAGGTCTCAAGTCATAATAATTATGAAGTGTAATGTTCAACCAGATTAAAGTAGTGATCTGGTATTTCTATCATTTTAACTGAGAGGGTTTTGGTTCCGACTGACTTCAGAGGCCGTGTGAGGAGTTTTTATGTGGTGCCGATCTTACTGATTACATTCTGATGAAACGGATTGTCTTTCTTAGAGACCAGCACTACCTCTCCCATGAGCACCATCACCTAACTCATGTAATTCAAAGATAATGCTACTGTGCTCCCACCACACCAGTGGGTTCTGATATGGGTGCAAGTTCTCAAAAAATGTTGACAACATTGGCGCCAGACTTGACAATGCAAACTGCCTCGGGTGGAAAATAACAGATATACTTGCACTGGACTAGACTAGCACTGGGTGTATGATGTGAACCTTAGTCACAAAAATAAGATAGTAAACACAGCTGACAATATCTCTCAGCCGCCCCCTGCTGGCCACTTTTATAGACTCATATCTTAAAATCTGTTTTCTATAAAGAGCATTCACTGGTGGCATCTTTGGACCTGTACAGTAATCACAGCAGATAACACTGTGTTCTGTGGAGAGCACCAGTTTCTGAACTATTTTAACATCAACTGTTAAATAGTCATTGCTACATTTCACTCAAAACCACATGTGTCACCTCAAGGAGGAGACTAATCCAAAGTCAGGGGACCGTGTTTAACGTGTAAGATACTGTAAATTAATCCAAAAGTTGTAGGTAGTCCATGGTTAATGATGGGCCACTTGACCTATATTGGTTCACAGCACTCCTGTTAAAAAGAAAATACACCATGCAAATATGGGTGTTTTTTTGTCCATTTTGCCAAACAGGAACAAGTTACCCAATCCCAGTTAGCTTACAGGCACTCTAGGAGATGCTCACATACTGTCTATTATCACATTTCTGGAATGATTGAGTTGTATCTAACATGTGCACAATAAAAATTTGATCACTGGCAGCCACATCATCACACATATTTGTAATAATTCAGCTTTTTTTTCAGAGGTAACCATGAGAAGTACTGCAACAGAGGCATGAATGCATGATGAAAATGGCAAATAATGTTTGGTTCAGATAGTTTAAAGACTGTTGTTTATGTAAAAATGTCTATATATCTATCGTATATGTTTAATGAAAATATAAACATATTGAACATGATCACGTTCATGTTGATCTTTTTCTGCTAGATACATATTGCCCAACAGTCACAGGAGAAAAAAGAACGCAAAACAGAAGTCTGGGCAAGAATCAGTCTGGCTCTTTTGATGAATGATTAGAAAATAACTATATACAACACTTGATTATCTACAACACAGAAATCGTGTCCTCAATAAGAACATGCACAAGTCAAGGACCTTAGCAAAACAAAGTTAATTTTTTTAAGTAATGTCTGACTTTTAAACACACTTTCAAAAACAGATCATTGTCAGATCTTCTTTCATCGCCATGGTTCTTAGACTACGAGCGTGTAGAAAGTAATAATATATACATTTAACAGAACAGATGATAATATTGTACATTTTAATAATATTCCCTGTTTGACTGAAGACTCAGACATTATAGTCTATATATAGGCAGAAATGATTTCAAAGCAAACTCCTTAAGAAATTTACAGAACTCTTCATATGTTTTGACAAAGATATTTCACTCTGCAAATGAATGTTATGTAGCTTATACATCCACAAAACTGAATACGTTTCTCCAGTACTTACAATGATCTCATCGCGTAAATTGACATTTGCAGCTTGGATGTTGTTGGACGAGGCATCCGTGCAAGTCTGTATAAATGAGGTCCCTTAGAAAACTATTAACATCGGTTGTGTTGAGAATTACAAAACAGAAAAAGAGAACCCTCCACACAGTAATGCGTCGCTCTGTACATGAACTTCCGCGCCCCGGCTTCACACACTGGTACAGTTTGGAATCTCCCTTGTGCTCTCGCAGGCATTTCCAACTCCCCCTGAGTAGAAACACATGAAAAACACGGGCAGACAAAAGCAGAGAAGGAAGATAATTAGTGATGCCTCTGGGCTTTGAAACATGAAAACAAATAACTTCTGTGACACTGACACATCATGATAATTGCTGAACTTTCCCTCTGTTGCTCTATCCTAGGCTCTGAAGCTGTTTTATGAAGATGGAAATTATAAAAAGACCCACAATAAAAATGCATAGTTTTATAACACCTAAGATTAAATTGTTGGGTTTAATCAGACTTGAGATGTTAACTATACATCTATATATTTAAACATTGGCTATTCTCTTACACTGAAACAATGTGCAAACTTTTGCAACAGGGTCCTGAAAGTTGAATCTTTTAAAAATACCATCCCTTCTGCAGTCACGTAAACTGACATATACACCGCCACTCCACAACAAAAGTTATCTCAAAGACGCTTTACAAGGAGATCAGTTCCAGGCCATACTCTTCATTTATTTACAAAGACAAATATTTAGCATTTCACGTGTGGAAACAAGTTGAGTGGATCAGATGTTAAAAGATGAGGCAAAAGCTTATCCCATCTTGGTGTTCAAGTGTCTGACACGCATATATCGCAATATGCATTCTTCTGTGTTTAATATTACTTTCTTTATGAACTGATGGCTTTTTTGGTTTTACACAAAAATTGAAATCAAAATTTTAATCAAAATTAAATGATTGTTAAAAAACAAACAAACAAAAAAACACAAGGGATATACTTTTTTTGTTGTTGTTGTTGAGACCACTCATCTAATGGCGGCCTTAATGCTACATGATTGGGGTGAAACAGTAAAATCAATGCTCAAGTTAAAGGGGAACCACGCTGTTACCATGGGCTACCTAGTTCAAAACTTCAACTCAAGCTGCATAAAGAAGTTCTGCACAAAAAAAGTTTCAGTTGGCTGTCTAACTCAACAGACATCCTTTTTTTTTTTTTTTTAGATAACTTTTAATTTGTTTGAAGATCACAAAGCTTTGTATTTATGACTCATGACTCCAACGTAGAAAATAGCAGGGAGCGAGAACACAACACAGAAATAGAGAGGGAAGTTGGAGGACATAAGGAGCTGCATGAAAAAGAAGCTTGTGAAGATATTTGAAAGATACACACAAAGCAAAGACAAAATAGTGTGTAATGTTAGATTTGGGAGTGCTAAAAAAACTGGTCAGGGAAACAAATTTGTCAGAAGACTTGGAGTTAGATAGAAAAAGACCTTTATTGTTGGTTTTGGTTATTTTTTCCACATTAGTTTCAATGCCAGCTGAAAAAAGCTAAAACCTTGAATGAGTAAGTTCAGTTAAAAATTGTTTGAACCCATGGTGGGCTGAGAAGAACACACTGTTTTCATAGAAGTGCCACCAACCTTGACTTCTTAGAAGATATTCTGAGTTATTTGAATAAATCATTCATTACGTTACATAATCATCTTCAATCTCTTTGTTCATGCTAACTGGTTTATCTCCTTAGTTGGTAATAAGCAGTATAGTATACAGCTCTGCACTGGGGTCCTGCTCACATTGGTAAGATAACAATCCTCTGTGAAAATCCACTCACTATTCATTGATTTGCTTGTGTGAAAATTGATGTCTTTTTTCTGTAATATCCCTCGTTGAAAAAAAAAAAGTTCTTATATAACGTTTTTTCTTATTATTCTATGATAATTATGTGTCAGGTTGATGTTTTAGAAGTTATTATGCCTTAGTTTGCCCCTCGCTTTACAACAGAAAGGATGCATGACAAACCAAGGGTGCTGAATCTGAAAGCTGTGGTTTTTACTAGAAGGGTGGGGACAACAAGAGGCCACAAAATAAATAAATTGAAAAAAAAAAAAAAAAAAAAAAAAAGGGTTTCCCTGTACTGATTTCATAGAGGAATAATGTAACATTGCCCCAGTAGTCTTTTAATGTAATAGACAATCTTGTTCTGTGCATTAATATTGTTGTATCCACCTCTGCTTGAAGGGGTGGCTGTGGCTCAGCTGGTTGTCTTTCAATCTTAGCTGTTTGACCCCAAAACCGCCCCCTCACTAGCTGTGTTCATACTGAGGACCTCTTTACATTGCAGCTTCTGCCATCAGTGTGTGACTCTGGTGTGAAAAGGTGAATGTGATATATAATAAACAATGCTTTCCGTGGTCAGAAAAATAGAGTCCGTTCACCAGCACTGGAGAGAAGAAAATGTTATAGAAAATGCAAAAATGGCAGAATAACCTTGGAATATTAAAAATTGATTTCAAGAGTGTTCAACAAGTATGTCATTTGTTTTAAAACACACTTACCTGCAAACAAAAAGATTAAAAAAAAAAAAAAGTTCCAGCCACGTCTTATATAAAAGAGGTTTTCTGTGGATTATTTAGTAAATGAGTAAACTCTATTTTTCAGTGTAATCAACCAAACATCTTTTAAGAAAGATAAATCTATCCAGTTTGTATTTTTGATGTGTTTAACAACTGTATAATGGTTTTAATATTGTACTGTCCTCTCAGACCAGTAGTATGTTCAGGACTTTATCATGTTTTCTTAGTTTTTTTCTTTAATATGAGCCAGCCTGTCAGACTGCTACACGATTTTATACCTGACTGAATCGCCTCTGTGGAGGATTACAGGTTCTGTGCAAAGATAACAACAGACGCTGAGCTGAATGAAAATATTTCAGCTGGACATAAAGCAGAATACTGATTACTGCGGCGCTTCAGGATGCCCACTTCTCTGTAATACTAAAAGTTTCTGTTCTCCAGTCTTATCCTGTACACCTGAGTCAGAATCAGCTCATCGTGTGTGAAACTACGGGAGTGTCATCCATCTGCTAAACTTTCTCACTGCCTCATGAATTCGGGAACAGCTCTGGCCGGTTGACCTGAGCTGCTTTCTGTTGGTGAAGCTGAAAAACAGACTGTGCAGTGGGGTCAGAGGGCAGCACTCGGCCAATTCGCTCCCGACAGCCTGCTGATTTTGCTTCACATTCAGATATTCTTTTTAAACAAGTCATATTGTGACTGAGCAGTAAACTGATTAAAGCGTCTGTCTCTGCGCTCCTGCAGGCCTATTGGATCTTGAGGCTGCATGCCTAAAAACAGCATTAATTATTCATTGTCCTCATGGCTGCAGGCATAGCTGGAATCTATTCTTTACTATATTAAAATCCTTCCAGGACTGTCTCTACTCTGCAGCTCCCTCAGCCCCTCCCCTTCCATCCATCAATTATTAAAACCTGAAAGAAAATGAAGTTGCCAATTCTCTGTTTAAAACACAATTCAAATTAAACAGCTACAGCATTACAGGGGTGATGAGGGTGCACTGGGTATTGTGTATTTATTCTGTGCATTGCTGTGTTGACTTTCAATCACACGCTGAGAAAACAAACACTGCCTAAGATTAGGAAACCAAAATCTGTGAAAGCACTTGCCTTTTTGTCTTGCAGCAGACTAACAGCAGTTTAAACAGATGTGTCTTATTAGAACTAATGCAAATATCAAATATTGATATTATTGAACTACGTATTCCAAGTTTAAAAGCCTTTTTACAGATTACCTCACAATCATTGTCGGCCTCTGTCAGTCATTCACTGAGATTACAGCCAGGAAAAGCAGCTTTAGTACTCATGCCTTCGGGTTAGTGGTAATTTTGGTGGCTGTTTTTGATTTAAACTTGGTCACAAATGACTATTGTGATTTGGCGCTATATGATTAAAAAACTATTGATTGATCATAATCTTTGGACATGAATCTCTGACCACATTTTAGTCACTACATTTTTATTTTTTAGTTGAAACATTCTTCTTCAAAAACATTAGTCCTCCACTTGACTCAAAGGCCTTAAATCTGCAGTGTTTCACTTAGGGCTGGGCGATATGGCCTCAAATCAATATCGCAATATATTGAACAGTTCACCTCGATAATGATAAATGGACGATAACTACTCCACAAGCTGCTCACCCCCTTCCACATTAACTTTGTCTACTTCAGCCTCCGCTCCAGCCGCTACAACTTTTGAACCATCCTCCAACTCCTCACCTGTCTTTCCCTCTTTGTTACAGACTGGATGGGGTGGAGTCACATCTCTGACGTAGGACAGCGTCTTAAAGGGACATGAGACCATAGTCTACCGACACACATCTAAAACCAACTTTGAGTTATTTAATATATTGACATGGGCAAAGTGAGGTCGGTTAAT